AAATTATTATATGATTGCTTATTGTGTCAGCGGGTTCGAATCGTTTGTAAATCATCTAATGCGCAAGGAAGTTTGTTTTTAGGATATATATCCAGATAGTCTTAAGCTTGAAATTATAATTTAAGCATGCAAAGTAAGATCAGTACGTGTTTAATTGGTTGCTTCTTTGCTTTTTAGTATTGTAACAGTAGTGTTTTGGTTTGTAAATATTCACCGGAAGGAGAACTTGGGGTGCTACCGAGGAGTTCTAGCGACAGTCGCCCAAAGCGAGTGTCACTATCACTCGTTTCCATGGGTTGCCACGTATTCCATAAACCAACTTAAACCAAATTAGTTAGTCCTGGCTGAAAATTAAACCCAACCCCACCCTTAGGTCTGTTTGGCAAAGAAGTAAAATCTGGGGGTGTTGGTCCAAGCCTGGCCTGGTTAAGGGCTTAAAATTGAACTAAAAAAACTAGGCCACAGTAGGCCTAGCTTTTTTTTCCAAATACAAAACAGCCCCAAACTAGATCAGGACTTGATGCGGCCCGGTTTCATGGTTTTGCCTGGCCCTTAGTTCTTTACGCAAGTGTTTTTGACATTTTCAGTGCTACAATATTTAAACCCCATGTTATTATGATAGGTTGCACTCTAGGATTGGGAGTGTAACCTTTTAGCCTGTAACTAATTTTGAGGTAATGAAAGATGGCTAGGGGGCTCTCTGACATGTTCCCATCATTCGTTAAAAAGTTGTAACTGGTTGCTTTTTTATTTGTAGAATCTATTTTAAATTTGTATCCTCTTCACTATTAAAACAATAGTTAGAGAGACCATTACTATATGAACAACTGTTGATTTATTCAGTGAGTGGTTATGATTTATTCTCTATTCAGCATTCATCATATTCCAAATGAATTGCTATATCTTTTGACTATTTTCCCAAGAAGAAGATCTTTATTTTTTTCTCTCCATGGTTTGCGACTTACAAGAATAAAAAACTTTGACAATAGTTTTAGAAAAACAGATGGATTCAGAACCTCTCCATTGTGAGAAAATGTACTAGAGAGACAACTATCATATTAATAGTCGCTGATTTATTTAGCACGTGACTGTGATTTATCTTTGAGTGTATATTAGAAATAAGCTGAAATTATGAGAGATATGGTGAGTGCCGACTTTAGAATAAATTATAATCATCCAGTAAATAAATCAATGGTTGTTAATATGGCAGTGGTCTCTCCACTAATTTTTGATAATGAAGAGGATAAAAAAATATTGGTAGGGAACATATAAGATTGCACTCGGATCCTCTCTACTATC